TTGGGTTAACTGAGTCAAATGAGCCCATTTTCATTAATTTATTAGAAATGACAATATGCATTTTCAGAATGATTTATGATTAGAAATAGAATGATATAACAGGAAGAAAAATATCCTATCTTCTGATAAAAATCAATACAGTGAGGTTATAGAGTAATTTAGTCCTATTTGAAGTATTAAAAAGCCCTTTGCTTCTCCCCCCCCTTTCAGATTTAATGAATCTGAAAGACATAATTTCCATCACTGAAAGGTAGGGCTGCAGATTAGTAATGGAAATACTAGTGGACTTATTGGGGAAATCCAAGTTTAAAGGTATGTGGCTTTTCTACAGCCTATTTTCATTTCTAGAGAAAATAAACATTATGTTCATGATTTAACATTATGTTTCCTTCTGAGAATAAGTTTTTTCTGCCTTTGTCAAATTGTATGTTATTTAAATAAATTGAAAGGGACATACTGTATTGTTTCTGCTAATAAGCACATTTAATAATTAATTTTGTTAAAAGGCAGAAAATGAATCAATTAAAATTTTAATTAAAAGTCATCAGACTATAACCTGTGTTCTTCCTAATTTGCCAAAAATTTTCTCTGTTGCTAAGTGATTATTCTGCAAACTGAGCAACACTTTAAACTAGCAGATTTTTATTTACTATGAAATGGAATCCAAGGAGGCAGATCAGAGAAATGGCTTTTTGAATTTTATTTGTATGTTCCCTTAAAGGAACCCTTTTTGATAATCAGTCTTGCAGCAATCCTGTGTTAGGGAGAGGGAGCTTCTTAAAGTTGACTCTGAGCAATCCATACTTGGTAGAAATTTTAATTTCATTTCTCATATGCAAATCCAACAATGTAGCTACTTTGTAACATGTTGTCTTGGTCTCACTTTGAACCTTGCTCATGCTTTAATATCTTTGGTCCTACACAGAGGCTGGGAATATGATTCCCTACTGTAAGTACTAGGAGGAAGAGCCAGTTTATGTAGCCTTAGGAAAGCTGTAATCCGGGAGTACCTCCAGAAGAAGGGATGGTAAACCAATTCAGAGTATTCTGTACCTAAAAGACCCTGGAAAGGGTTACTAAAATTGGAGTTGATTTGATGGCACACAAATAAAGTGGTGCCCCACAAGACGGGTGCTCCGTTTCACAACGAAATCACATCACAACGAAGTTTTTGCGATTGCAAAACGATGTTCCCTATGGGAGAATTTTGCTTTGCGATGATCGGTTCCCTGCTTCGGTAAACGATCATTGCAAAGCGATGATTTTCGCACAGCTGATCGGTGGTTTCAAAATGGCCGCCGGTTAAAAAACATGGCCGCCCGCTGTTTTCTGGGACGGATTCCTCGCTGCACAGGCAGCGAAAATGGCCGCACTATGGAGGATCTTCGCTGGACGGTGAGTTTCAAGCCCATAGGAACGTATTAATTGGGTTTTAATGCGTTTCTGTGGGTTTTTTAATATCGCATGATGACGTTTTCGTTCGACAGCGATTTTCACGGAACGAATTAACGTCATGTGAGGCACCACTGTATTATTATTAATGAATCCCAGGTGCCTTCTAGGGATGATCAGGTGATTATCTTTACTGAGGAGGAAGACCATTAGCTCATGGGACATGGAAGAAGGTGCTTACAGCCCAGACCATCCATGCACAGAAAACAGTTTTTGTGACTTTTGTCATAAACAAAACAACGGACATGAAGAAATGTGGCTTATTTTGTGTTCCTATTTTCACAGAGGTTTTGGGTTGGTTAATACCTGTCACATTCCAGCCTGTCCCTTGGTTGTTTCACCAAGCAAAGGCACAAGCTACGTGTTGTTCAGCTGCCATCAGTTGATTACATCAACTTTATTCACTATTAATGACAGAGGTCCAGTCAACGTATCATTTAAGACCAAGTAGAAATTGTTTATTGTTACAGGTGATAAAAGTCCAGTCAAATCTCATTAGCTCTCAACTAAACAACCTTCTCTGTACACTCTCAACCACCTACTTTCCTCTCTCTGCCTCCCTCCTTTTCTTCACCCCAATTAATTCCACCCCATACCAACTCTTATTGGTGCATGCAAACTTCCATATACAGTTGTGTCTCGCATTACGAGTGCTCCATTTTACGACGAAATTGCTTTACGTTAAAGGTTTTGTGATGACAAAAGTGATCGCAAAACGATGTTTCCTATGGGGGAATTTCACTTTGTGATGATCGCTTCCTTGCTTCGGGAACCGATTCTTGCAGAGCAATGATTTTCGGCCAGCTGATCGGTGGTTTCAAAATGGCCGCCGGGTAAAAAACATGGCTCCCCGCTGTTTTCTGGGACGGATTCCTCGCTGCACATGGCCGCGCTATGGAGGATCTTCGCTGGACGGTGAGTTTCAACCCCCTAGGAACGCATTAATCGGGTTTTAATGCGTTTCTATGGGCTTTTAAATTTCGCATACAACGTTTTCATTCTACAGCGATTTCGCTGGAACGAATTAACGTCGTAATGCGAGGCACCACTGTAAATATTAATGAGCAGGGTGAACGCTACATCAAGTTTATTGTGTTATTAAAAGTTACTGCATGGGAATTGTGTTCCTCACACGAGCCAGTGAACAAATCTTAAGGAGCCCAGGCCTAGCTTGTGACCACATGGAGAGGAGGAGCTATGAAAAGATACCTTAACACCTCTCTCAAGTAAAATCCAAGCTTCATATTGCTTTCCCAGTATCACATGTTCAAGAACAGTGGATATAACATGTGGTGTAAAATGTTCTGAACTGTTTCTTTCTTACTCCTACATTTTATACCATATTTGCTGATTAAGAGCCCTTCTATAACTTAAGTCACCTATTTGTAGCTTTTTAGTGATCCAATAAAAGTATTACCCAAGCAAAATATTTTTTTTTATAAATGAATTACATGGCTATTTTTTTCTTTTAATTTCTTAACTGACTTGTCAAAAACAGTATTTAAGTAAAACAGCTGCAGCTACAGTTTATTACAAAGCATTTTTGAGAAGGAGTTATAAGGGTATTGTTGAGGTTATATATTTGATATAGGTAACGGTAAAGGTTCCCCTTGACAATTTTTGTCCAGTCGTGTTCGACTCTAGGGGGTGGTGCTCATCCCCGTTTCCAAGCCATAGAGCCAGCGTTTGTCCAAAGACAATCTTCCGTGGTCACATGGCCAGTGCGACTTAGACACGGAACGCTGTTACCTTCCCACCGAGGTGGTCCCTATTGATCTACTTGCATTTGCATGCTTTCGACCCGCTAGGTTGGCGGGAGCTGGGACAAGTGACGGGCGCTCACTCCGTCATGTGGATTCGATCTTACGACTGCTTGGTCTTCTGCCCCTGCAGCACAGGCTTCTGCGGTTTAGCCCACAGCGCCACCACGTCCCCCATATTTGATATAGTCAAGGATAATAATATGAAGGAATTCTAGTAATAAAACCTTTTCATAGCACATACAGTCATGTGAAAAAGAAATTACCACCTTTATGAATTGCATGGTTTTACGTATCAGGACATAATAAAAAATACCTGATCCTTAGCAGGCCTGAAAATTAGGTAAATACAACCTCAGGTAAAGAACAACAAATGACATATTACACCGTGTCATGATTGATTTTACATAAAACCAAAATAAAGCCAAAATGGAATAGCCATGTGTGAAAAGCTAAGTACAACCTTACTGCTTCCATAGGATTTAAGAAGCTGAGTAGCAGCCAGGTGCTGATACGTAAAACCATAGAATTCAAAGAGGGTATCCTGTTTTTTAACATGACTGTATGTCTGAACAGAAAGTTGGAGGGTTTGTGTGGGGATTCAAGTTGCTTCCCTTCCTCCTGGGGTCCCACATCTTCAGACACAAATTCTAGTAACGTTTTACCATTTATTTTAGGAACATCAATAAAACTCTTTATTTCAATTTGAACATTGTCTTTCTCCTTTTCTTCCAATGGGGCTGAAAAGGGTTTCCATTCCTCTTTAACAAATGGGTTCACATAACTAAGGTTCCAAGGTCCCGGTTGCTGTGCTGGTTGCCAGTCTTTTACTGTCGTCCCCGTCAATAGTGGCAACAGGGGCACAGACGAATCTCCCCGTTATTCTTCCCACCTTGTTCTCTCCAGGGGTTCCATGATCTCCCAGATTCCGAAGGCCGTGGCCGCCTCCTCATCTCTTGCACTCGCCATTCCCCTCTTTCTCTCCTTTCTTGTTTTACTCTCTCCTTTTCTTCCCTCATTTTCACCTCTCTGGCTTCTGCGTTCCCCCCAATACAGTGGTTTCAGGGGAATGATTGCTCTCCACCTGTGATCAGTTTCCTCTCTCAGAACCACCAATCTCTCCCACTTATGGGTCCAGGGATTTTTCAACCAAATCCCCCCCCCCCCCCCCGCCGTAGTAGGTTTTTCTCCCAGTCTCATTTTCTCCTGGCTCTACTACGTTACTTGTCTCACTTGCACTCCCCCCCTTTCTTCTTTGATTGGTCCCTCTTTTCACTCTCCTTTCCCACCTTTTTTAAATTGCTCCTTCAACTCTCCCATCCCCCTCAGACGCTCAATGGCTCTTCCTTCTTTGGTCCCCTTGAGGGAACCTGTAGCAGTTGTCTTTGGAAGTGCCATCACTCTTGAACTTCTTTCTCTCTTTCCCTCTTCTGCTGGAATGGATGGCGCTCCGGTGAAAGCTGTCTCCACCTCACCTTCTTGCTTACAAAAATGTGCTTGGTTCTATTTAGTTGAGATTATAAATATTAATCAATCTTCTCATAACATGTTCAATGGGGACATCATGGTAACACATGATGTCCTTTTTCAGTAAGTAAGTAATGAATGAATCACAGTTAAACCATTATGAAGCGCTTAAGTCAGGCTTTGTTCTTGTCAGCCAATCATCTGTCTTGTATGTGGTTGCTTATTTGAATAGCTAGCCCTATATAAGAATACATCAGGAAGCAGGACAGTGGCATTTTCAGGCAAGCAGGGAGTTTGGCTGTGTGAGCTTAAAACCAAACAATGGCCACTACCACTCGAAGAAGCAGAAAGAAGAGTCAAGTGCGCCAAAGGCAACGAAACAGAACCCGGCATAGTCAGAGAAGATTTCGAGGGGGAAAGACAACTGGGAGGCATGCAAAATACAGCCGTGGAAAGAAGAGGTTTGCTGGGACTTCCAGGAGAACACAGAAGCTGCGGCTGGACAGTGTTCGGATGACCAATGAGGCCCAGAACATTCTGCACTTTTGTGTGCATGACCTCTACAAAAAGGTGTCCTTGGCAGCTGAGCGCTTGAGGAAGAAGAAACGCCATGCTTCAATTACTGTCTCAGATGTAAGAAATGCCCTGAAAAAGATCATGCCAAGGAAGTATGACAGAAAGTCTGTATCCACCATCACCTGCAGATGCCATTAGATACAAATCTCTTCCTTTCCTGTGATAGCCTTAGGAATGAAGAAAAAGAGGGGAAAGGGAAGGGGAAAAAATCACCAGCCTGAAATAATATCCAGTACCGTGCCTGCCTCAAAAACACTATCTCCGAATTTCCAAGCAATCTTGTAACCTGCCTTTTTATTACTAGACCAACACCAACTCTAGTAATCAACTCAATGAAGGAAATACTTGACGATCTGAATCTCATTACCAGATGATTATCATATTACTCTTGTGCTGAATCAGGGATTATCTGGTTTCAAAGGAAAGTGAATATCAAGTACTCTAATCAGCCACTGAGGAGCGTATGAGGAACATCCAAAGGGATGTTTTCCCTTTTACAATTAAACAGGATCTGTGCAGGATAATTTATTTCTCTGTGTGTTTTGTACTTGTCCTTCAGAATTTTCAATTTCCATGGGCAAATGATTGCTATAAATTGCAGAGGTGTCGTTTATTTGAGTCAGCAGGGCTTGTAATAATTTTGGTTCTCCCTATAGTGTGCTGTGAATGAAAGTCCTTTTAAAAAGAAGAAGAAGCAATGACAGGGCCATTTTCTTTCCCCATCTGTAGGATGCAATGTTTGTTGGTATTTCATCAGTACATATAGCTATTTTTGTGTCTTGTACTATCATCTTTCAAATGGTAGGGCCAAGATAATCTCATATAGCCAGAGTGGATAAAAATGAATGATTGAAATGAAACAATTTTTTATTTAAATTGTCAAAAATTGATTTTTTTTTGTTTAAATTGTGATTTAAATCGTAACTTAAATCAATTTTATTTAAAACAAATCCACTTACACCTAGTACTCTTAAAACCTAGAGTAACTTTTGTGGAAGATTGCCATTGAAATAGCTTGATCATTTAGGGCAGTGGTTCTTAACCTTGGGTTACTCAGGTGTTTTTGAACTGCAACTCCCAGAAACCCCAGCCAGCACAGCTGGTGGTGAAGGCTTCTGGGAGTTGCAGTCCAAAAACACCTGAGTAACCCAAGGTTAAGAACCACTGATTTAGGGCTTTAAAGGTCATAGTTGTTATTTTGAAGTATATCTGAAAAGAGACTAGTGGCTGCCAAAGCTGTTATAAATATGGGATGTTGTATTCTCTGTACCCAAGTCTTAATCACTGCTCTGAAAGCTTTAGTGTCAGTTCACCGATCTAGGTGCTGCTGGCTGGCTCAATGGTTTAGGCATCTGGCTGCAGAACAAGAGGCTGGGAATTCATTTCCAGACTGTGCCTCTATTATCCATAGGGTCTCTTTCAGCTCTTCAGTTCTAAGATGTTGATGATGATTATTTAATGGTGTTCAGCTTCTCCTAAATAGAATTAATCTCTTCCAAAGAAGCAGATGTGTAGTCCATGGTTTCTTGTCAATTCAGCAGTGTTGATAGAGGCTCACCCTTGACAAGTGACACACTAGCCTTAGATGTACAGGTACACTCCTGATCACTGCAGAATGTGGATACTCAGGTGCAGGGTTGGATCCAGGAGTGCAACTAAACTGTGCACCCTTCATGCATCCCATTATCAACATTGGGCACCATTGATTATAGAACTGGAAAAGCTTCCTTGGATTTAGAGGGAAAGGGGAAAGAGAATTTGTTAACATCAGCATATTAGTGGCACCAAACCAGCAGCAGATGCAAAACTTTATGGATAAAAAATACTAAAAACTTTGAATATTTTTTTCCATTTGAAAAGTGTTATCATATGTCCCCTCAGTCTTTTCTCAAGGCTAAATATGGCCAGTTCTTTCAGTCTTTCCTCATGGGGCTTATTTCCCAGTTCCCTAATCATCCTTGTTGCCCTCCTCTGAACTTGTTCCAATTTGTTAGCATCCTTCTTGAAGGATCCTTCTTGAAGTGTAGTGTCCAGAACTGGTTCGAAGCCAATTCGGAGGAGTTGATGCCAGCCATTAAGGATAAGAGGAGAGCTCTAGCAACATACAAAGCCTGTCCTAGTGAGTACAACTTGCAAGCTCTTCGAGCTGCTCATAGCCAAGTCCAACAAGCTTCCAGGAGATGATCCAACGATTATTGGCTTCAGCTCTGCTCTCAGATACAGATAGCAGCAGAAACAGGTAACATCAAAGGAATGTATGACAGTATCAAGCAGGCTTTAGGTCCAATACAGAAGAAATCAGCTCCCTTGAAGTCTGCTATAGGTGTGATCATCCAGGACTGAGCACAGCAGATGGACCCGCTGGGTGCAGCACTACTCTGAGCTATATTCCAGAGAGAATGTAGTAACCGAAGAAGCATTAAATAATATTGAGTGCCTCCCTGTCCTGGAAGAGTTGGAGAGCGAACCAACCTTAGCAGAAATAAAAGCAGCCCTGGATTCCCTTGCCTCCAGCAAGGCACCTGGAAAGGGTAACATCCCTGTTGAAATGCTGAAGTGCTGTAAAGAGACCATCACCACCGAACTGTATGAAATCTTTCGTCTTTGCTGGAGGGAAGATGGAGTACCAGAGGACATGAAGGATGCAAACATTGTCACATTGTATAAGAACAAAGGAGACAGGGGCGACTGCAGTAACTACCATGGCATCTCTCTTAGCATTGTAGGGAAGCTGCTTGCCCGTGTTATGCTAAAGAGGCTCCAGGTGCTTGCAGACAGAGACTATCCAGAATCACAGTGTGGATTTTGAGCTAATAGATCCACCACTGACATGGTATTCTCCCTCCGACAGTTGCAGGAGAAATGCAGGGAACATCAACAGCCACTCTTAGTGGCCTTCATAGACCCTACAAAAGCATTTGACTTGGTTCGCAGGGATGGCCTTTTTAAAATACTTCCTAAGATTGGATGTCCTCCTCAACACCTTAGCATCATCAGGTCCTTTCATGAGGGAATGAAGGGCACTGTAGTTTTTGATGGCTCAACATCAGATCCCTTTGACATCCAAAGCAGAGTGAAACAGGGCTGTGTCCTCGCACCAACCCTTTTTGGAACCTTTTTTTGCTGTCATGCTGAAGCACGCCTTTGGGACTGCAACCGAAGGGGTCTAGCTCCGAACTAGATCAGATGGAAAGCTCTTTAATCTCTCTAGATTGAGAGCGAAGACCAAAGTCCATCTGAAATGCATGCATGACTTCCTCTTCGCCGATGATGCAGCCATTGTTGCCCACACTGCTGAAGACCTCCAACAACTCATGAATCGTTTTAGCAAGGCCTGCCAAGACTTTGGACTATCAGCCTGAAGAAAACACAAGTCTAATCTAAAAGAAGGATTATTTCCTTTTGGCACCAAATAGTTGCTCATAGAAACAAATCTCATAAGCAATCACTGTGTTTTAGAATGGTCAAAATTTAAAGAGCAAGGATGAGTATTTGTAGGATGGGTGGTTTCAAGAAATTGTTTCTGTCTCTCTTCTTCCTTAAAAAAATCATTGAGCAAGTAATGTCTTCCAGGACGCTTGTGAAATTTTGTTGAGAAGTGCATATATTAATGTTGATTACATGGGTACTTACTTCCTGTGAAGTTCAAGAAACTCTAAAACACGTAGAGCAAGACAGACCAGTTCATCTCCCATAGTATGACAGCTTGCATACATTTTTCTTAATAGTGCTATGCTATGGAATCCAGAACATAATCCCACCAAAATAATTTTCTAGGCTCAGTAACAATATAAAAAATTTGCAGAGTTCTAGTTGATTTAGTAAATATTAGGAAAAGACTGTGTGGTCCCAAAAACAATGAAAATGCAGGAACATGTGATACCTTTATTGGGGGACAAAAAAATTAGCAAAACAAAAAAACAAGCAATGAGCTTTCAATGGTAATACATCTTCAGGCTATGCACCAAGTTCTTGTGGGTAGCTCCAAAATTATATGTTTTTATTGAAGTCCCAAAGGCTCTTGGCCATTGTTGGGGGCTAGGTGTAGCTTCTTAAATAGAAGAGGGGCCTGAAGGCATACTCTCCCTCCACAGGCCTCTTGCAGACTACAGCTAATTCCATCTACCAAGCTACACCTAGCCACCAGTAGTGGCCGAGCCTTTGGGACTTTAATAAAAACATTATTTTGGAGCTACCCACAAAAACTTGGTGTACAGCCTGAAGAAGATGAATTGTTATCAAAATCTCACAAATTTTTTTTTGGTGGTCAATAAAGGTATTACCTCTTCTTGCATATGTATTGTTTTAAGGACTCCTCGGCCTTTCCTAATTTTCAGAACTGAAATTGAAGATGCGGGTGTTTCTAGAAGTTGCCTTGATGATGGATATGTAACCTTTAGAGGAGTAACTGAAATATACCATGTCAATATACAGTGGTGCCTTGACTTACAACTATAATCTGTTCCAGAAGATGGATGTAACTCGAAATGGTCATGAGGCACCATTTCGCAGAGGAATGCATTGGAATGGGATTAATCCATTCCACCAGGGGGGAAAAATCACACACAAAAAACAAAACCACAGCCAACCCCATTGGAACACAATGGGACTGAAAAACAAAGCAACCCCCCCCACACACACACACACACCAGTCAGCCCCATCGGAATGTGATGGGGCTGGGAAAATAACACAAAAACACCCCCCACACGCAAGAGCACAGAAACATAACCCCCAAACCCATGCTGCAAAACAAAGTAAATGTACTTACTCATGAGCAGAAAGCAGCACCAAGCAGTCTGAAACCTCCTCTGACGCACACACTCTAACCATTGGGGCAAAAGAGCTAGAATGAAGCTCTTCACTGACCAACGGTTAGCCCTCTAATTTGAATTCCCTGCCTTTTTCCCCTGCTTCCTTTGATCACAACTTGAAGCTCTGGCTGCAAGTCGAAGCAAAATTTTGCAGCCGGAGCTGGTTGCAACTTGGGATGGTCGTTAGTTGAGGCACCACTGTAATGTTTAAAAATCCATTTGTGCAATTTGCCCTGATTAATTGTAGCTATTTGGTGAGGTACAGGGCACATCTCAGCTGGGCACATGGCCAGACTCATGACTAAGGTATTTCATGGAACGTTTTC